ATATGGAGAATATGTGTGATTATACTTATTGCATTCAATGTAATTTATTATTATTAAAAATTAGCTGGCTGATGAAAGTTCAGGACAGATACTCATTAACTCACTCACTGCCAGCCGTTTCCTGATCGCTAACGGCCTTCGCTGCCAGCGTTTCTCACCGTTTTACTGTTTTTTTAAGAGTCACAGAACGTTGCGTGCTAGCATGATGTCGACGCCAAAACAACCAAAACAAAGCAGAGACTCACCTCTTACATCAGGAAGAATCTGCGTGTTTCGAGCGTTATCCGTTCTTTCATAATCTGTTGTCGAATTGTGATCGGCAGACGCTTTTCCGGTTTGCACCTCACTTTTTTTACAGGAACGGCCCAAAACGATCTCCTAACACATCTCCTAAGCCTGTTCTGCTTCCTGATCACGTGACGCGTGACGTATGCGGATGAAGATCGGCTTCAGGGCTGAGATGTTTGTTCTCTCAGCGCGGGGGCTCGCTCTGATTTTCAAACAGTAAAAAAATGCAAATGACAACTTTAGTCGTCATTAGCAGTGAATGAGTTAATCACTTTCTGAGTTTAATAGAAATGTTTTAAAAAATGATTACGTTTTTTACTTTTTCCTTCTTTTAGCCATAAACTACGTTAGCGATGGTGATGCATCACAGCAGAAACCTACTTCCAGATACAACTGTGCGTTTCACACACAGGCTGAACGTTAGAATAGTCATCTGCCCCTATTTCCTGCTTTAGCAACTTATAAAATATAGACGAGGAAATGCTCAGATTAGAAAAGTCAGTCATATCTACATCACACTGTAAATTAAGCTCCGTAGTCTCATCCATCTTGGCTCGCGACGGGGAAGGCTGTTGTTGGTTTAAAGCGGGTGTGGGGAACCCTGGTCCTCGAGCGCCGGTATCCTGCATGTCTTTGCTCCAACACTTCTGATTCAGTGGTTGATTCACCTGTTCTGCAGCTCATCAAGTTCTACAGAAGCCTGTTAATCACCTGCTGATTGAAGTCAGGTGTGATGATGCTGGGTTGAAACTAAAATATGCTGGATAGCGGCCCTCGATGGACCAGGGTTCCCCACCCCTGGTTTAAAGGGACGCTAGGCAGTGTTGGCTTGTTTTAGCACCCCTAGTGTCTATTTAGTAGAACCAAAAGCAAAACTTATCTCCTCATTTTCTTTTGTGTCTACAGGAGTGATTTATCACTAAATTAACCAAATCAGCTGTTTTCATGATCTAAAACATGCAGGAAATGTGCTGGAAGCAGACTGCGGAGCCAGGTGTGTCAGAAATATGTTGGCTTGGCTTACTGAAGTCCAAATGGAGGGGCTCAAATGCAATAAAGTCTTCAACAGCTGTGCTTAATAGCAAAAACAAATAAATAACAATTTTGAGTACCTGTCCACTGTAGTGACCATTATGCACCAAAGGGATAATATAGTGTAATATTGTTTTTTGATGGTAAAAAGTGCAGGGGTCAAAACTTGACTTTGGAAGTCAAATTACGTCCATGCTCCAAATCCTGCCGTATTCTGCTCCCTTTTCCTCCAGCTAACATCTACTTCCTGAAACAGGGGCACCAGAGTTTTTACAGACCACATCATAAGGCCTTCATTCATACTAGAGACCACTGCAGATGTATTCAAATGAGGAGAGAATGAGAGCTTTAAAATAGGAAAAAACCTACAAAGTAGAAGACTTTGATGTTTGAGCATCTTGACTTGTCAGCGTTAGCGTGAGAACATCCCCGTAGCAACATCCCCTCCTCTGCTGTAGAGCTATTTTCAGTTTCAGTCCGATAATTTATCCAAAGAGCCTGATTGTGCTGCTCGTGTACTTGAACTAGGCACCTTATCGTTGCATTTCCATATAAATGCTGCTTGAGCATAAACATTGTGATAGCAGCAGTGGGCAAAGGCACGCACAGGGGGCCGCAGAATAATACATCAAACTTAGTGCATCCACCTTATGTTACTTTTAATAGTGTGCTGCAGTACAAGTACATGCAGCATCATTTACACACACACACACACATCCCTGCATTAAGTATTCTCAGGCATGTTTGATGGAATTTGCTAGTTTCAGTCCACAGGAAGCAGTTGAAGTGGATGTGTGTACATGCTGCTCACAAGAGCTGACAAGAGTGTAAACATCCCCTAGACTGGTCCACGTGCATCTGAGGAGAGTGTGAGAAAGCTAGAAGGAAGAGGATGACTCAGAATCCTGCTACTCCGGTGGCAGATGAATCATTCAAGGTGCAGATTAAGAAGATTAATCTCCCAGATTTGAGAGAAAATGTTATCATACTTGGTGACAATCTGAGCACGGTTATCAACCCTTGGATTAACTTTCCTCTTAAAAGCAAAGATCCTTGATTTTAATATTTTTCTAAATTTTTCATCATGATTGCCATTTTTTCTCCACAGAGTTATTTTTCGTGCAAATGTGTAAAGTCTGTGACGCGTGTCAGACATTAATCAGCTCTCTGGCTGGCTATCTGGCTCACTGTTAGAGTTGTGGAGGGGTGAGAGAACTCAGGTTGTAACAAGATCCCAAAACAGAACACCCCCCCCCCCACCCCCCACCCCACCCCACTGGCAGTAACATCCATGCACCCGAGTCTTCCTAGCTAACAGAGGTGCACCAGACTCTAAATGCAAGACACATTTAGTCACACGGTGCTCGTCCTAAAGCATAGGGAAGGAAGGCATGCCCACAGACGGCGTGTGATGTACATTAGCAGATTGATTTCACCATAAAATCATACTCAGTATCCAGCCATTAAAACTCTGATCTCATCGATATGTGTGCAGCACTTGCAGGGTGCAGCACTGAATTATTCACCACTTCTTCTGTCTCACTGCTTTTGCTCTCACTCTTTTTCTTCTACCTTTCCTTATCTTCTTAATTTCCTCTCACTCTCTCAACTTTACCATTTTGTCTACTCATGCATGCCTTCAATTCCCCATGTCTCCATCTTCCTCTCTTTCCTTTCTTCCTCTTCACAGTCTGTTCAGCTTTTTTCTCCTGTACTGTCAGCCCTTAGGCGTGTCTCAGCCATCTCTCCTCTTCATTTATTAATACCTACTCACACAGCTGTAGTCACATACACATTTCTGGCCGACGTTCTCACACTCGTCTGCTTTTGCCTGCCGACTGCACTAAAGTCCCAGAGGATGTGAGGAGCCCAGAGTGTCCACACACTCACACCCGCTTACGGTGCAGGAAAATGCCCTTTGTGAAAGGACAGGGAGCATCAATCTCCCAGCTGGGTCAGCTTGCAGCTTGATGCTTTTTTTTGTTGTGGCTCTGCTCATCCCAGACTTGCATGTGGTTGCACTTTATTCTCGTTACAATAGATCTCATGTTACAGTTGTCACTTATTAGTTATCAGGCTGTAACTGTTTACCGGGCTGCTTTATGCACAGTGTCAGGTTGACTTGATATGCATTGATTATCAGCTGCATTTAATGCAAAAAAAGCTTATGTGCAACTGATCCTAAATATATAAACAGGATCATTAACATGGGAGATAATACCTGTTCATGCATGCAGGTATGCAACATTAACCTGTCAGACCAAACTGTTACTCAGCCCATCAGTCCATGCCTGTTGGACAAACATCAGTGAGTTTAGATCACGCTTTCTGCAAAGTTCTAGCCTCAATTAAATCCTGACAACAGAGATGATGGACATCTATCTCTGCCCACATGAGCAGAGCAGACTGTTACCCTTGACTTGCAGCTGTTTCCCTGAGCCTCCACCTATATTTAGCTCTTCGTGTGAGTGGAACGATGCGCTGATGACGAGGTTGGAGGGCAGTGACATTGAAAGCATTTTCTGTTGTAGAGAGCTGCAGAGATGATGGACTATGGCCGTGTTTGATTGTGTGTGTGTGTGTGTGTGTGTGTGTGTGTGTGTGTGTGTGTGTGTGTGTGTGTGTGTGTGTGTGTGTGTGTGTGTGTGTGTGTGTCTAAGGATCTCTGCCTGAGTGTCAGGTTATTGCAGGCATGCATATGCATGCACCTTTAGATTGTGCAGAACAGTGTTTGAACCACCTGCTGTCATTACCTTATTTTCTCTCTGGGAGCATGAGGAATGTATATGAGGCAGAAAACTTGGCCTCCTCTCACCTTGGGGACCTTCAGCGCCATCTGGAGGCTGTCGTCGTCAAACCGGAGAAACCCCAGCATAAAGAGATGGTGTTTAGCTCTGGACACGCGTGTGGAACTGACCATTTTATTGAATTTGATGATCCATTACAGCTCAAATGGAGGTCCAACTCCCTCAGGGCAAAGGGGATATTGCATAGGCAGCAGTGTAATCACAAGACAATTACAGTACCTTCTGACTTTATTGTAATACTGATATATAAACCAAGGTATTAGGGAGGTTTATAGATTAAAAATATACATCAGTGAAGTGGTTTTCTTGGTACATGACGTCCAGCCCACCCACTGCTCCATAGACTGCAATAAAGATCCAACGATTATTCCTCCTTGATTAAAAAAAGCACAGCAATGCATGATGAACCACATGCAGGCTGCGTGTAATAAAGAAAGAGTTGCATTTGTAAACATGTAGCTGGCTTGATCAGTCATGAGGAAATGAGGATTTATACCTGCAATAAGAATCATATGTGGTAAATGGTGCAGAAGATCAATGATGTTTAGTGAATCTGAGCAGAGAAAAGCACTCATCACCTGACAGCTTCCAACCTGAAAAGATGACTTGTTTTACATTTTCAGTATGTCTGATAGCTAATCTCAAATTGTACATGATTAAAAAGTAATTGCAGTGGATTTTAATCTAAAATTGAATAATTAGTGGAGGTGATTTCATGTTTAATCAAAATGAGAAAAGATGGGAGTCTAAAGTCTTAATCCGTTTTTAAAGGTTGTATTTTTGTGTTCATTTGAGTCTTTTTTCCTCTTTCTGTCCCTTTTTCTTTGACAGAGATTTCTAATTTTCTAAATTTTGCCCATCTTTTGTCCACAGTGAGCACCTATCATGTTCTTTCTCCTTCTTCCTCCACGGGGAGAGCAATGTGTGCACAAGCGTCGAGATCGCCCAGCACCAGCCTGCATACCACATCACAGAGCACCACATCCGACTCGCACAGACCTCCACCACGCCGGTGCAGGGTGAGACCACAGATCAATGAACTTTTCACTCTGCTTTGGTTTCACTAAAACCCAAAGTCATTCCCAGTGTGCATCTGACAAGCACAGATATGTGCAATTGAGGGTTTAAACATGAATTTTAAAATTATAGTGGTATATTCAGACTTATGCTTAACTTTGTGTTACATCAGTGATTGTACACGCAAAAAATATATTTACTAGTATCATATTGCTAATGAAAATACACACACACACACACACACACACACACACACACACACACACACACACACACACACACACACACACACACACACACACACACACACACACACCAGAAAAGCAAACGCAGGAAGGTTGTAGGTTTAATCACGGCCCCCGCCAGAGAATGCTTCTGTTGTGTCCTTGGGCAAGACACTTAACCCGCGTTGCCAGCTGGTGTCGCCAGTGTTTCTCCCCAGGGCAGCTGTGGTTACATTGTAGCTCATCATCACCAGAGAGTTAATGTGTGTGTGACTGGATGGATGACTGATTGTGTTGTGAAGCGCCTTGGGGGGTTGTGAAACCACATACAGGCTATTTACCATTCAGACCGTGATGGTGGTTACGGGGCAAACAGCCAGGCTGATTAATCGTTTCAGGAAAGGTGTGACTAATTTACTGAAGGTAAGGAAACTGAGGGAGGCAGGGGGAAAGTAGTGATAACAGCTGTGTCTAACTTCAGGGAAAGGCGTCTTGTGAGAACTTGTGGTTCACAGGTCATTCCCGAACACAAACTGGAAGTGAGTGGCTTCATGTTTATTCCCACCCCTGCCTCGTGTCACCTAGTAACTGTGACGGCACGAAACAATAGTTCAAGATAAAGTTAACGGCATTGAAGGAAGAAATACAAGAGCAGTCATACTAGCTTGTTTATGGCAATTTATCTATTTTTGACAAAAAAAATTTGAAGCCATACTTTGAAACTTTTTCATATTTGTAAATCATTTTCTGGTGCCAGTATGTTAAAATGACCCTTTACAATGGTAATGAAATGCCCCTCAGACCTCTATCGCCCCCTGTGGCCAGAACATCACGTTTGCAACTTTAGACTGGCTGGCTGCTCTGTTGGGTCTTCAGCTGACATACCTAGTGCTGCTGTCTGGTTCCAGCTCGTTCCCTGCTTGTTTTAGATCATAAACACAGCTGATTTGTTTAATTTGACTCCTGTAGACACTAAGGAAGGCTGGGGAGACATTTCAGCAGTTAGATTAAGGTGTTAAAAAGATGAACGCACAGCAAGGAGATTGGTCTCATTTTTGGTTTGACCACAGAAAATAAAAACGGACACTAGGGGGTGCTACAAGTGAGCAAAACTGCCAAGTGTCCCTTTAAATAACCAAATGTGCAACCAAAAAAATAAATAAAATCCTAACAAAACCCTTTTAAGTTAACATTATTTGTACCTCCACATATTAATATTTGAACTATTACAACCACATTGTCTCTCACTTCGTTCACCATTATTACAAGAACAACATATCTCCTGTTGGACATGCAGTGAATTCTGGGATAGTCTTTTACCTATGAGGACACACCAGACTTATCCTTGAAATTTAGGGAAAATGAGGATGCATTTTGAATATCCTTTGATTTTGGACAGACTTGTCTCTTCACTGTGACGTAATCGGTCTTAAATTAGAAGAATGTAGTCCCTGGATTTGGACACAGTAGTTTCTTGAAGCTAGGAAATCTTCAAGTCAGCTGCATTGGCAACTGGCTAATCCCTTGAGGCTCTACATTTTAGTAGTCTCCCTGCTAAGTCTCATGACTAGACAATGTTTAGATCTTTTCTTCTGTAGTTTTCTGTAGACTTGGACACATTTAAACAAGCACAATTGCACAAAAGCTGCTATATTCTGTATAAGATGCTAAAATTTTGCAATTCAAATAATGTACTTTCTGTCAAAATATCCATGGACTACTGCTTCAAAGCATGCTCATGTTGTTTTTCTTTTCTAGTCTTAAATCATCTTCCCAGTTTTCAAACTGATTACTTGTATTTGTCTGTGCAGTGGTACTGAGTCCATACGGTCTGAGCGGTACCCTAACGGGTCAGACCTACAAGATGAGTGACCCGGCAGCACGAAAGCTGATGGAGGAGTGGAGCTACTTCTATCCCATGGTGCTTCAGCAGAAGGAGGGTGGTGGTGAGAAAGAACAGAGAGAAGAAGCATGCCAGGCCTATGATCGCAGCTCTCATGTGGCAGTGGACGTCATTGTTGGTAAGGTTAAAATAAATTATGCTTATTTTGGGGGAAAACAAGAAAAATGGTGGGGAAAAGCATTTCAATTGGAGTTAGTCTGCAATTAAATCAATGTTCTGCATGTAAGCTCTAAGCAGCAAGTGCAGATCCTTCAGCAAATGAATAATCACATGCAGCCCCAGTGTTGCAGCTTTACTAAAGCAAATGGTGAGGCACTAACGTCTCATTGATTACCTCCATTTTTCTGTGTATCACCAGGTGGTTTGAGTTCGGATGCCAGAGAATTTGGTGCTTTAAATGTAAAAATCTGCAAAAGGTGAAAATGTAGTGACAGGAAGATAGGAGAAGGGTAAGGGTAAGACCAAAATGAGTGGTGGAGGAGATGAGGCGTGAACCGCAGGGAGTTTCTCCAACAGGCTAATCAGTCTGATCCCACAGTGCCGACTTGACCTGATTACAATTAAAACTCCTTTGGATACCGATGACTTTTACAGCTAAAGAAAAAAAACTGAATTGAGACAGAGAAAAAGAGCAAAGCTGGATGTTTATATATTATGCTGAAAGAGAAAGCGTGTTCTCAGATTTCAGTTAAAGCAACACTAAAGTTTCCCTGCTTCTCCCTCCTACTGGTTCAAAGTGGAATTACAACTGTTGTAAACATCCTGCTGCAGCTGCAGCTTGGGACGGTGGCACAGGAGTTAAGTGCTCGCCCCGTAATCGGAAGGTTGTAGGTTTGAGCCCCGCTCAGTATGTCACTGTTGTTGTGTCCTTGGGCAAGACACTTAACCCACGTTGCCTGCTGGTGGTGGTCGGAGGGACCGGTGGCGCGTGTGCTCGGCAGCCTCGCCTCTGTCAGTGCGCCCCAGGGCAGCTGTGGCTACATCGTAGCTCATCCCCACCAGTGTGTGAATGTGTGTGTGAATGGGTGAATGACTGATTGTGTTGTAAAGCACCTTGGGGGGTTCCAGGACTTTAGAAGGTGCTATATCAAATACAGGCCTTTTACCATTTACCATTTTGCTGTAGCTAGCACTAACAACAAGATAACACAAACACGAGCCAATTAATACTTAATAAGCCACAAAAAAACTGTTGGACCAAACTATTATTACTTATAAGTCCAGTAGCAACAAAGCCAGGTCATCATCTGTGCGGGATTTAATCACCTCCTTTAGCTCTCTTACCCATACTGATGTTCACTCTGGTTTTACCTCTTTGCTTCACCTCCAAAGACATTACTCTCTTACTTCCTGGCTTCACCATGGCACAATCATTGACAAACTAAAACATCTTAACTGCTAGCCTTTTTATCAGCTAACAGAAGAGTAAGCAGCAGGCAGCCGTAAGGCAAGAAGCTAGAGCTCTCTACCTGGTGAACGTACCTGGGCTAGAGAGAAGAAGAAAAAAAGAAAACATTGTAATATTGCACCTTGCAAGATAAAAATCACAAGAACAAAAAAAAAAAAAAAAAAAAAAAAAAGTGGAACAGCCTCCACCTGTTCCTACAGCTACCCACTATTTTGTGTCTAAAGCTTGATTTGAAATATATACTGATGAAAAATTATGAAAATTTTAATTAGACCACTGAATAATGTGAAGTTGGTAACATTTCTACCTCAAGAATCACTGAAACCACCAAAACAGCCTAAAATGTTAAAAAACACTTTAGTGTTGCTTACAAGCAGAAATCTGGACTTTATTTCTCAGAAGACACCATCTAGAGGTGGAAAAATGTATTGCACCTCAAGCGTCCTTACCTCCATGATTGTGACTCCAAGCAACGTCTTGTTCGTGACTGTGAACTCTAGTTCGGCAACAGAGCTGAAACACATTATTTTGCAATTATTAAGCCTGGGGCACACCGGAGACAGACGTGCCACGCCCCGTCCCTTACCAATAGAAGCTATTATGGTAGTTAGTGAGAGTGGATACACGGGGAGCGCTGCGCCGCGCTGAGGAGCTGAAGATAGATGCCGGTTCAATTTCAAGCGCTGTTTGCAACATTGTGGAGTACTTTACAGCAGATGTCACAACGTGGAATGGCTTTACAGCACAAACTCAACCGTAGTTTTGATAACTGTAAAGTACTATTGATCGTAACATATTCTAATAAATACCGTACTTACCCATTTTTTATTAATTTGAGTCTCTCAAAACATGACGGCAAGTCTGATCACGTAAAAACAAAAGAGTCACTTTCCGTTTCCTGTTCTCAAGTCCTGCGTGATATTGTGACTATCGCGCAACTTTCCAAAAAGAGCTCAGCTGTACGGCACGTCCTGTGTGATCACTTGACTTCTCAAGACTGCGGCGTGTCTGTCCCCCAGGCGCGTTGCAAGCTTTTCAAAAGTGTGGGGGATGTTGTCTGTGGATGTCATCAGCTGTAAAATGAAACTCAACCTCAATCCAGTAACAGGTCCGCGCATAATGTGAATTCAGTCTTACCTTTGTTGATTCATGGTCATAATTCATGTTATAGTAAAAATAATCCCTTTGTGTAATCCATCTTCACAGCATCACACAAAGCTTATTTGTGGCTGTTTTAGCTTGCATCCATCCGACGCCAAATCCCAAAAGACTAGCCGAAAAAAATCAAAAGCAAGCGATTCTATTGGCTCAGAGGTTTCCTAACTAACCTGAATGGCTTCAATAATCCAACGGCGGGGCCCGGAGAAACTCTTCTGAATAAACTGTAGTTCCAGCCCAGTCCACCAGCGCACAGGTGTACTCGGGTAGAGGCGGGGCGGTTTCGACAAACTTTTTTGTCACTGAGTGTTAACAAAGCTGGCTTTAAAGTTGGACAATAACAACTATTCCGTAGAAGGAGCGTTCAGTTATTCCTTTTGCAAAACGGCTGGAAAAGTGTGTGTGTTGAAACCCCCACATCCCCCACGGGTGCGACGCCCATGCTGTCCCCGGTGTGCCCCAGGCTTTATTCTCATTTTATTTAGTTATTTATTTATTTTAATATTTTTTTTATTAAAGACTTGTCCATGAGAAATATCATCAACTCTGCATCGGTCTAGGTACTTCTGCAAATCAGCTACCCACTATTTTGTGTCTAAACAGTAAATTCTTCTTTTTCCTGTCTTATAGGTGGAGTAAGGATGACCTACCCAGCTGCTTTTGTGCTGATTGCTCAGGGGGACCTACCAGTGGAACAGCCTCCACCTGTTCCTACAGCTCCGGGCCTCAACAAGGAGCTGAACAACTGCAGCGTGCCGCTGACGCCGCCAACATCACCAGAACAGACCTGCTCTGGTAACCGATACTCACACTGGAACATTCCTGCAGAACATTAGAGAACAACAGTGAAACGTATCAGCAGATTGGTGTTCACAGAAAATTAAATTCTACAAATGAAACGGATCTAAAAAGTTTGAGTTTACATGCAAAGTTTCAAATCAACCATATCAGTTGTTGAATATATTAGCAATTATTCCAGTGTTGTTGAATCTAAATGAACAGAAATCAATTATGAAGCTTTACCTGCAAATTTACACATATAATTTTATTATATGAGAAATTATAGAAGTGAGAGCTTATTATTGCATCTAAAACTTAGTTTCACTTGCATTTGTTTTGAGAAAAATAAATTTTAAGTTATAAGCACAATAACATAAAAGTTTTATTCAAGATTTTAGGATGAATTTATTAAACTTTACTATCCCCAGAAAACTGATTGCAAAAAATTGAAAAAGCTCACTTTTCAAATGTCGATTTCACCTGTTAACGAACAAATTCTGTCTAAACCAACATGTCTCTATACAGATTAAAAAAATACATCTGGATGATTCCAAAGACTTGGGAGAATATTAAAGGTGTGATATGTAGAAAAGAAGTACAAATGACATCTTGTGGTAAAATTTGGTTACTGCAACTACTTCAAACAACTGGAACTTTTTGCCAGCTGTCGTGAAATTACAATTGTCGGTGCTGCAGTATTGGCTTGCAGGAGGCACGACACCCCCACACTCACTGATGCTAAACAGTAGTTACGTCCCTCCTTCCTTTGCTTTGAAAGGAGAAAAACTGACAATCCCCGCAGCCAGCTGCATATGAAATATGTTTCAGTATAACCATCCTTTCAAAATGACTGAAATATTCGACTCTTTTGGGATTTTCTCACTGTAGAATTCTCACAATATTCTTACACACTGTTTTTGGAACCGTTTCATTCATATTGATACAACTCAGGTTTACATTTGGTCTAAAACTAACTGCATTACAACAGAGAACAGTCTAACATGGTGGTGGTAGTGCAATGGTCTGGGGCATAGACACAAGTACGTAGATGCCCCATAGGGAGCTGGAGAGCGTCTGGGTCTTTCACTCTCCAAACCCAACTGGATCCCACACAGGGGGAGCAACTATGACAATTTTTTGTACAGTACAGTTGCAACAGCCAGCACATTACTGAAAACAGATCATGTGGTCTTACCACAGACTTTTCTATCATACCTGTTTTGTTAAAAATGATAATAAAATGTGGTTTTTAGTCGTGTAAACATATTCTTCAGTAGACATAACTGAAGAATGTGGCTTTAGCACACAGAAAGGGGCGACGTTGGGTCAGTTGTCAGACTCATACCATATTTGTAACATGCAACACTTAAGTTCCGGAACTGAAGGGGGCGCTATAATTAATATAACCTAAAGATTGAGAAGGATGGAGAGGTTCATTGAACAGTTTTAGTAAAGGTTCCATATCATGAAAAATCTACTTTTAGGAATTCTTTAGCATTTGATAGTGTCATTCCTCATAAGAAAAAAACCCACCCTTTTTGGGTGGCATTCATGCATTTTCCTGTCTCAACCATCGGTCTCAACTGAAACTTTGTCAACGTAATGCTTTTTCCTGCAAATGGGTGAAAGTAGCACACTACCAGCCATTTCTCCTCCCCCCGAAGCTAGTCTGGTCTCGGTTCTGAACCCTGGGTATTCTGACTAATTACTTCAGAAATTAATTCTACTGGAAGGTCGCCGTAAAAAACAATACATCCCGTCTACAAAGATGCACGTGATGTCAAGGGATATGTGTACTAGGCACCATTTACATTGTATTAGATTCAATGCTGCAGTGGTTACAGCTTCAGACTAGAGTATAGTTTAGCGCAGGCTTGCCTCTTGGTCGCGGCATTAATCTTTTTTTTTTCATTTTAGCAACACTTGCCAGTATTATGTTTTCAACTGTTTATCGGTAAATTGTTTAAAATTTAAGGACTAATCTGTTTTTTCCCTTACTTTCTTTGTTTATTTAGCCAGTGTGAATCCATGTGTGAGCAGAGTCTCAACTAAAATGCTGCTTGGAAACGACTAAATTCAAAGATCTTTAGAGACATAAAATATTTTGCAGAAAATAATTTAAAAAACTAAAATATAAATAACTGAAATCTGTTTCAGCTGGCTAAATAAATGACTGCCGACCCCATCTAGTGTCGGACCAGCATCAGCAGAGGACGAAATGAAATAAAAGTCAAACAATAACGCCGCTGGTCTACCATAGATAATACTAGGGCTTCACAATATTAGGAAAACCTGCGATATGCGATAACAGTGATTAATAATGCGATGACAATATTACTTGCGATAAATAAAAACTTAACTTAGAAACAAAAATAATCAAAATTAAGGAAATCAAAAAAATGACAAAAAAAATCATGAAAATGAGAAAAGCAAAAGATGTGAAGAAAGGCAAAAAGAAAATGAACAAGAAAAGGCCATCAGTGGATCCCAAGAAAAGCAGAGTCAGCAGAAAGAGCAGAACTAAGCTAACTCAGGTGTTTGCTAACCATCAAAATTAAGTGCTGTCTGCCTCAGGGGCGGGCGTCTGACCTATGAGAATCCACCTAATTGGCCAAAGAAGGATGAATAGCTCAATTTGATTAGTTAAAAAAACTTAATGCTTCCATTTGGTTGACAAAATGCATTATGTGTAGCAAACATTTGAGCTGTCCATTCATCACAACATTTATCTGTTCTTTGCAATATGCATTTTGCGCATGCTGATATCGTGATAACGATATAATTGCGATTTATTGTGCAGCCCTAGATAACACAAAATAAAGCTTGAAGCGGCCATGGGCAGAGAATTGCTGAAAGGAACCTTTTCATTTTGGGATATGAATTCAGACCTTGTCATGTAGTAAATTATATTTATCTTGCTTAATTTGAACATTGAACAGAGTATTAACAATTGTAAACCAGTAACAGCCGTAGTTCATATGGTTTCTGACAACTGAACCCGACAGCACCCCCTTCAGTTCCAGAACGTAAGTGTTGCATTTTCCAAATATGGTATGGGTCTGACTACTGGCCCGACCCCGCCCTTTTTTGTGTGCTGCAGCCACGTGTACTTGCATACATGCACTAGGGGAGATTTGATACTCATCCAAGATGGCGGCTTGCTACTATGCAAACTCCAATAGGCAGCCCCAGTCTGCGCCGTGACTACGTATATGATGTCTTTGGTCTAGAGCTGCTTTGCTGCTTCAGGACCTACACAGCTGTCTAATTGTCTTCATCAGAAATGTATGACCTTTGACCCTAAAGAGGCTGGTTAGAATCCTTTTTATCCCAGGCATCATCTGAAAACGACATTTTGTGTCAAAGGACAAAGAGTTAAGCTACTAGGTTGTAGATATAAATCTGTTTCCTGGCTGAATTTGCACGAGTAACAAGTGTGTTGTGTGCACAGTAGCTCTTTTTGTCACTAACTGGCTCGTCTGTATGAAGCCTGAGTATATGAACAATGTGTGAATGACCGAATGCCATCCTTTTAACAGACCGAGGCAGTCGCTAATGTTACGTTTTTCATGTGTGAGAAAGAGCTCATGTCAGAATTCAGTCAGAAAGTGTTACTAAGCACCAGTGGTGAAATTCACACGTGGCACTGACTCATTCAAATGCTGTCAGATTAACCAAAAGGAGTGCAAGTGTGAAAACAGACATGTTTCACTGTCGATTGAAATCACAGCAGTATTTGTGAGTGTGATATAATCAGTATATGTGGATGTCAGAGATGTGTGCCTCTGCAAAAGGCTTCTTCCATTGTTGAGGCTGTCCATTACCCCCCCAACACACACACACACACACACACACACACACACACACACACACACACACACTTTTTTATGTCTCTGCTTGTGGTGTGATTCTCTTGACCCAGACATGTAGTCTGGTACCTGTTCAGGTGGATGATGGTGTATGGCATATTTCATCTCATGTGCAGGAGGCACGTTTAACAGAATAAAATAAAATTTCAGTTTATGCAACATAAGCAGAGATTATAGCAGCAGAACACAAACATTTATATTTTAGAGGAAGAATCAGGGCACATGTGAAGTTTTAATCCAGTTGTTTTGCACTTTTACATCAGTAGACACCCAACCTGACTCACTTTTAGTGTTTAGCGTGAATTGGGCGGTGGCCTGGAATGGTTTGAAAAATCCCGGCCTGAATTAATGTCCCAGTCCGCCCCTGCATCTAGCTGTTTTGTTTTTAGGTCTGTGCTTAGTCAAGTATTTTGACATGTCTTCTGTTTTCTACCTTTTCAGCAGACAGCGGCTTTGTGACCTCAACCTCTCATGTCCCTACGCCAGACAGCAGCATGGGGATCACAAGCATCAGTCCAAAGCATTCTGGGAAGAAACTGACCCACCAGATGGTCCATCAGGCCTGGAAGGAGTGCTATCTAAACCATTCTCAGCTCATGTATGTTATTATTTATGAGTGATCTGTACTTTAACAGGTGCAAACATTAGTCAGCTCGTGCGTCCTAGCAGAAGGTAGGTGTCAGCAGGGGTGTCTTGTACCTAGAAACATTGGGGGTTGAGCCCACACCCTCAAACAGCAAATGGGGGGCACCTACTTAGTAAAAATTGGGTTTTTATTAAATCATTCTTGTTCACTGTGGCACCTTGTTTAAAGCTAAATACTGCCATACATATTTCAAAATATGTTTATTTTCAAACTTCCATGTGATAATGTAAACAATATCTCTAAAATCAGTATTAATTGTGTTTAACTGTTTAATAGTTAAAAGCTGTTGTGTCTTGTTGGCCTAGCTTAGTAACACCGCTGGGATTTGATTTGGGCTATTTTAATCCTTTTACCTGGAAGATATTGAAGAAAATCACTTAAATTTTTATGAAAATCTTAAAATATCAGATTGTATGAAATGTGTTAAAAACGACTGTGTCTCATTGTTCTAGTTTACTAGCACTATTTGGTAATTGATTTTGAGTCATTTAATCAATTAAGCTGGAAGCTTTTTTTAACTATTTCAAAATTTGTTGATGGTCCCTAAGTGAACTACTGCTTTCATGAGCAAGTCCTCAGAACACAGCTGACCGCCGTCTCTGGCGCAGCATAAAAACGTGATGAACCATGGAGTGAGTGTCTGACAGATATCCCACATCCAACTAGCGTCATCGCGGTTGAATAGTTCCTGTTCCTGTGAAAAACGGAAGTTCATTTTCATTTGTATTTGAAACCAAAATGCTCAAAATAATATCAGAGACATCGGGCTGTCAGTCAGTGAAACACGGAGGGTTCATCCTCCTCTGTACAACTGTGTCCTAAACACATTTTCCAAGAGAATGATCAAGTATGTCCTAGACCTAGTGCACTGCATCACGTTGTGTTGTATCAAGTATCATGCATTATGTAATGCTTTGTATCATATCGTGTCATGTCTAGCACGTTGTACAAATACCGCTCATTTCCTTCTGTTTTTTTTTTTTTTTTGTTTTGTTTTGTTTTTTGCTCCCTGCAGACCAAACCAGACAACTGAAGGGACGCAGAAAAAGGAAGTGCCAAATGGCGTTGCCACGTGGAACTTTAATGATCTGGGAGATCGAGCACCCTGCAGCTGCCCCAGGTATCACACGCCCTGCAGCTGAGCTGTTCACCTCTATGCATGCAGACGCCACACAGAGATGGCATTATGTCTTGTACTTTCATATGAATTAAAACAGTTTACAGATTTCTAACCTTTGTTTTGAAGCGGTGATGATGATTCAAAACCAAATACAAGACATATCCACCACAATGTCTAAAACAAGCACGAAAATCTGCCAGAAATTAAAAGGAAGCAAAGCAGAAAAATACGGAGGAGTAAATGCCTCAAATAGAAACAAGGAAGTGGTTCCTGGAGACAAAATCCAGGTTGGAAACTCTGACAGGAAAGAAAATTAAATGCTAACACGCCTGTCAAAATAAAACAAACGAAGAAGTGAACTCAGAGTAAACACTTATCATTTGTAACTTCATTCAGATTTGCTCCTAAATGTATTTAATGAACTCACTCCTGATTCTAATTTTCCAGAAATATTATATCAGGGAGAAGGTTTATTTAGTTGCTTCTATTCTAATTTGCTGTGTTGTAGGTTAAAGCAGCAGAAGCCCAACATGTTTACCGCGTCCACTGCCAACCCTCAGACTTGTGCCAGCTCTGTGCTGTCTTCTGGCCCCTCATTACACCCCACCTCCTCCCTGCCCAAACATAAGACAAGTGACAAGGCAGAAAAGGCTGACAAACAGACCAAGAGGCCGGCTGTGATTCCCTTCCATCACCGTCTACCGGTCATGCCAGAGACCCCCTTGGAACAGGACCCTCCCGGTGGGCCTCATCTCAGCAGTCTTGCAGCACTCGAGTCACCGGTGGAGCCGTTGGCATCTCTGCCAAGCTGCAAGTACTCTAAGCCCCTCTCCAATGGCAGAAAACCCCCCGAGTCTCTTCTCCATTCACCCATGTCTCCACTTCCACCCACTCTCAGCCCACATCCTCGGATACAGGACCCAGAGGTTCTGGATGGCCCTGTGGACATGCCCATGTGTCCAGATGGGGCTTCGGGGTTAGGGGTGATTACCAGTGAGACTGCCATGTACACTACAATGCTGAGGCAGAGGGAGAATGGGGTTGGCTGGTGGAGAGGCTTCAGGACTCCCAGGACAACAAAGATTGACTTCAGACCTCCTGAACTCCCGACAGATAAACTGGAGGAAATGAGAACAGAGACAACTGCTGAGGGAGGTTCCTTCAAGAGGTAGGAAAACAACGCTAAATGTTTGGGGTGATGGCAGCTCAAGGGCTAGGAGTTCCCCCTGTAACCTTACCTCGACTTAACACTGGAGGCATCAGCGGTGCGGGATGTCGTTGCTTCAAATAGAATACATTATAGTCTATGGGCTGATCCAAATCGGCCGCGGCGCAGAAACTCTCAGAAACAACACGCCACACCACTAAAGATAGGACTGGGTTCTAGTTTTGCAGCGAGCTGCTTCTGGGACGCATCAATTTCTGCAGTTAACATAGGATTAGACAGTAAATCACACGTGATTTCAGTGTAAAACATCAGGTCATTTTCAAAATAAAAGACTTTTGCAATTTTTTATTGCAATTATTTCATATCTATATAAATTATGTCAATACATGTGACCAAACAGCTTATTTACTCCCGGCATCTTTAGAGAAGTGCAACAGTGTTTTTGTGGCTCTAATCCTGGCAGTGGAGAGGAACATTATATATGACATCGAACAGTGATGTCATACGGGATTTCTTTCTTCTTTCTGGTTTAATGGCAGATGGCATAAATAAACCGTGCTCTTTGAAGTCTCAAGGGATTTAGTGATCTCGCGAGTCTAGCGAAGAGAATAATGGAGAAGCTGCTCCGGGGCTGAGATTGGCGCGAAGCGTGAGCGTAAACCGTTCTGCTGCTGTTCTGCGCCACCGATGCTTTCAGTGTGTGTAGTTGGGGTTAGGGTTGCCAGTTCAAACACAGGCTATATCCACTCATATAGGAAACCTTTAACTAACTGGCATAATGAACTGAACTCATTTGGAATGTTTACTTTGTGAAGTGTCGTGAGACAGCGCTTGTCATGATTTGGCGCAATATAAATAACTGAACTCAAGTGAATTCAGTCTAAATCAGTCGTGCCCTTGGGCAAGACACTTCACCCTTCTTGCTTGCCGGTGGGGCCGGTGACACCTATATACGGCGGCCTCACCTCTGTCAGTGATCCCCAGGGCAGCTGTGGCTACAGTGTCCATCACCACCAGTGTGTGTGTGTGTGTGTGTGTGTGTGTGTGTGTGTGTGTGTGTGTGTGTGAATGCAAAGCACTTTGGAGTCCTCTGGCTCAGAAAGGCGCTTTTGGTTAGAGAAAGTCTGGGTTGTGCTGGGCAACGCTGTCTGGACCCGAACCCTAAAATATGACCAGCAAATTCAGAGATTTTGTAGTCAGATGATGGAGAAGGAGGATGGATGCAGGAAGAAAGTGAAAATCCTTCCGTTCTGCTTCATCTGTGTCTTTGTCTCCTCCAGACTGTACACTCAAACTCACAAGAGATTTAAAATCTCTGAAGAGAGGGTGAAGGAACACATCCACACACTGGGATTGTTCGAGCAGCCGGTTGTAGAGGCGCTACGAGAACGCGGCGAGGATCCTTACGACTTCAAGGAGGGAGACATCGAGTACCCTTTTCCATCTTCCAAGAGAGGAAAGGGTTCAAACAGAGAGCCCAGTAAGAAGGCCAAGGTAGGACAACAAACCTCATTCTAATCAGCAACGACTAAAGATTCAAGTAAAGCTACTGTTGTGAGACAAACCAGCCACAAGTAATGTTTTGTGTTCATAAGATGCATCACTTAGCCTAGAAAACACACTCTTGTGTCGTGGCAACGGTTTATCTCTGCTGCCCCATTGTGGCCTGTTTGACACTGCACTTTTAGAAATGCACACTTTTATTCACACCATCACTCAAACACAGGAAACCTAAGTAAATGAAGATTAGGGTTAGGGTTAGCACTTTGCTGCACTTTGTGGCTAATGGTATTAACTACAAGGATGGCTCTTTATACTTTTAAGTTAGTAGGAAACGGATTGAATTTTTATTGAAAAAGTTAACATTTTCTTCTAATTCATCCTTCAGGGAGAGGAAATCACCAGCAATGGTGCGGTGCCTGATGGAAACGATGCTATGTCTATTTTTAACTCGGCTCCAAAATCAGGTTAGGACCTAATCCCCACATCCCATAGGTGCTCAGAAGTCCAGCAGCCTTTGAGTAACCTTGTGTTGGATCTTCCGTGTGTGTTTTAGATGATTTGTGTCAGGACGACGCTGCTGCTAAAACCAACCCTTCTCTGACCAGAAAGGAAGATCTGGAGGTCAACATCTCTGATCTAGACAACATGTTTGATGTAGATGAGGACTTGGGGGTAAACATCACTCTTTATGTCTGACATTCTTGTTTGTTGAGTTATTTTCTAGCAATATGAGATTTAGTCCTTACCATTTTACTGCTGCTGATGTTAATTAGCCATGCATCTTTATTAAAGTTCAACATGTTGAAATGTATTAAGAAAAATTAGTCAAACATTTGAAGACTGTCTATCCTGACCCGCAGCCCACAAAGCTACTAGTATCAACGGAGGATCGTCTTCTTGGGAAAGATGCGAGAGCTAGTGTACCTTATCCATCAAGTGAGTCCATATTTATATTTATTCCTTAAAGGTCAAGTTCACTGAGAAACCTTTTTTACTTACTTACTTTTATGTGATCGGTCACTGTAAGTTTAAAATGCCAGCTGAATGTGAAACTGGTCTTCCACCCCTGTTCCCTGCATTAGCCGCTGATGGAGAATAGTTTGGGAAAAACTTGTCAATTACACATCACTTTGTAAAATTAGCATTCATGGACTCACCCATCTTGGCTTGTGACAGGGCTGTTGTTGATTTAGCATCCAGGAGAGAGCAGAGCATGTCTCAGCTAGTAGAAGCTAACTGTTAGCATTAGCAACTCCACAACATGGCAGAACTCCTTCTGGCTTGAGTAATTCATGGAGATAAAACATCAGCGGTGCAAACAGAGTCAGCGGTAGAGTCTTGTTGCTGTTAGCCAATCAGAGGCAAGATTTCAGACTATCAGGGATGTAGACTCAAAATCCTGCTTTCTGCTACTCACCTAGCATGTGGCTCACTTCTACTTCCTGAAACAAGAGCGCCAGAGCTTGTGAACTTGATCTTTAACTCCTGATTGCATGACACTTTAATTTAAACACTTTTCGAAGTTGTTTTTAGATCAAATTTCAATCCATTCTTTACGTTTGGCTCCTTTTAGCAGTAGCAGATCTCCAGCGGATGTTCCCCACCCCTCCTTCTCTAGAGCAGCACCCAGCTTCCTCTCCCATCACCCCATATCGTGACACCCCAAGTCAAGAGCCCCCTCCACCCAGCATGGTGGCTGACCACCTACCCTCACTGGCCTCTGCTCATCTCGCTGACAACAGTATGGAGACAGAGGAGAGTGCAGCTAGTCCCAGACAGGATGACATCAAGGTAGCTGATTTCTTGTTGACCTAAGACAACCATGAGAGATGTTGGGGGGATGGGGGGGAACGAGCAAACAAACATGCTTCTTCTTCTCTGTCCAGCCACAGATAGGCTCCTCCATGTTTGCTCCACTGCCGTGTCTTCCCAGCCAGAATCTACCGCCACTCAAAATTCCAGATCAATGTTTCTATCGTCCATCTTGGGCTCTCCTGCCCAAAATGGAGCATTTCACCACCATAATGCATCCCCAGAACACTGCTTTCACCAAGGATGGATACGCGTAAGATCATATTTCTTTTTGTTAGGATAAAGTGTCAGTATGAGGAGGAGTGGGGTTGTGGTTAGTGTTTACCTTATGTTTTGTTTCCTCCTGACACGTTGTCCAGGAACGTTCCCAGTGTCAGCACCCTCACAGACCAGGAGTATGGTCAGATGAGTGCCACCACTGCTTCTGTGAGCACCACGACGGGCATCCTACCATCTCCTGCTACTCCACGTTTCTCTGTGCCCACTCCACGGACTCCACGCACGCCCAGAGGCATCAATACCGCAGGTTCAGGACAGGGTTCAGTGAAGCAGGATGGTACTGAGCTCAGCTCACCAGTCTCCACCCCATCTACCAGCCTGCCTCTGAGCTCTGTGGATCCCTTGACTCGGCCAGGGCCGTCTCTGCCTGAGGCCCACAGCCTGTACGTTATCCTTCTGCTCTCAGACTCCGTCCTTAGCGTCTTTAAGGATCGCAACTTTGACAGCTGCTGCATCTGTGCATGCAACCTGAATGTCAAAGGAGCCGATGTAGGGGTGTACATCCCAGATTCCACTTGTGAAGACCAGTACCGCTGCATGTGTGGCTTCAGTGCCATTGTGAACAGGCGGCTGGCTCAAGGCACAGGTCTCTTCCTGGAAGACGAGCTGGATATATTTGGTCGAACTTCTGAAGTCGGTAGAGCAGCTGAGCGAAGACTTGCTCTTTGCCACCGTGACCCAACCATGGTGGTGTCCAGGACCAAGCAGCTGCAGGATGCAGGCCCAGCCTCCCCGCCGGTCATGATTGTTTTGCAGGAACAATGCTCCCAGCCTATCTCCTCCCTAGCGTCACTCCATCTTCCCCTGAATGCTTCCAGTAATGGCCGCAAGGGGGCACTCCTTCAAAGCTGGATGTCTGAGAAGCAGTGGGCAGATGGGAGCGATGCTTGCGTGGACTGTTTCAATGCTTTGGATCAGGGGCTGCAGTATGTGGACAACCCCACTGGAGGGAAAGTGGATCTGGCTGTTGTCAGAAGTAGTGCTCTTCATTCCTGGCCTCACACTAATGGTAAGGAGTGGAATCCCGGTACTTGGGATGAAATTTGTTACAAACATATACATCATCGTATGTGTTTATAAACGGTTAAAAAATCCTACAACTTTCTAACATTTTTCCATCTCTTATACTTGTGCGTCTGTTTGTGCCTCTGGCTGCTTCAAAAGTGGTGGACATGAGCAGGTTGTCGTCCCAGGATATGGTCCGCATGCTGCTGTCTTTGCAGCCTTTCCTGCAGGATGCCATCCAGAAAAAGAGGACAGGACGAACCTGGGACAACATCCAGCACGTCCAGGGTCCACTCACTTGGCAGCAGTTTCACAAGATGGCTGGACGAGGCTCTTACGGTGAGCTCACACACACCTTTCTGCACAGAATTTGGTAGAAAGCATTTGTAATACTATAGGTGTGCTGACTAATAACCACTACCTGATTGTGTCAAAGGTTCTGAGGAGTCGCCAGAGCCCCTGCCTATTCCGACAGTATTACTTGGCTATGACAGAGAGCGGGACTTCTTGGCATTGTCCCCACTAGCGTTGCCTTTCTGGGAGAAACTGCTGCTGGAACCTTATGGAGGCCAGCGAGATGCAGCCTATTTAGTGGTGTGTCCCAATAGCCCCACCCTACTCTCTGCAGCTCGGTCCTTCTTCCTGGAGCTCAGTACAGTTTATGAGGTTAGATCAGAACCATCAAACAACTCTAAAACTGTAGACAGATTTAGGAAAAATACTGTTTTTCTAACGAGGGTGTGATTCCATCTCCAGACGTGTCGTCTTGGAAAGCACCGTCCGCTGTCCAAGGTGTCCCGAGATGGATTAGTGCATGTTGGGGAGGACGTGGAGCCAGAAAAGCTGGAGGAGCTGAATGTGGATCAGTGGATGAGTGGACCGTGGGTTGGACAGCAGCACACCGACAACCTCGGCAAACTTAAACTCTATGCTTATGCCTTTAAACAGCAGTTAGGTGAGAATGACCCAGCGGGCATTGAAATCTCATTTGGGTTTGATCTAATTGATGTTTTAATGCAAATTTTTTGTTGTTGTTCTTTCAGGTCCTCAGTTGTCCACTCTGAGTCTGGACGGCAGTCTTTTGTTGCCTCCTAAAGCCCAGCCTCCCTTAACCACGCCCCCATCGGGGCAGCCCCCAGCTGTAGAAGGAGAACAAACATCAGGTGCGACAAATACAGGAAATGATTTAACCCCGAGTGGAGCTGCCTCAGGCCAGGTGGGGGAGGCAACCCAAGGGGGGTCCAGCGACTCGAAAGGTCTCCCTAGTTCCACACCCCCACCCAGTGCACCAGCAGAAAACACTGACGTGTAAGAACGAATATCCCAATCATCACCACTCTGTTTTGACATCCGCAAACTAGCATGCTTTCTGTTTCGCTGCCCTTCAGCTCCTCGGAGCAGTCTAGAATTGGCGTTCCTACCTTGGCCGACTCGGCGGATGGACTTGCGAACCCACCAGCAATTGTAATTTACATCGTAGATGCTTTCGTCACCCCGTCTAAAATGAGAAATGAAGGAGAGGAGGAGGAGGGAGAAGAGGTTGAGTCGGGCAGCGTTTGGCTTCTTGGGCTTCTTCGCTGCTACACTGAGATGTTGCAGCATTTGCCGGAGAAATTGAGGCCTGCACTGGTGCTGCAGGTGGGATGATGCTTCGGTTTACGTTTCACCAGCAAGGTTAAGCAAGCTGCTGTCACAGTTTTGGTTCGCCCCGTGTGTTTTAGGTGGTACCGTGCCAGTATCTGCTCCAGCCAGCCAGTGGAGAAAACCACTTGTATCTGCAGCATCTGCGCTCCCTGGCTTTCTCGTGTTATTCCCAGTGCAGACGGCTGCTACCCCAGAAAACACATATCAAGTCCCTCACCGGGTTTGGGCCAGTATCTACTGTCAGTTCTGCACTAAAGAGTCCAGAGGTAAGCATGGAACAATCCAGGGCACTGGAAACAACTTATTCAAGTCTCATAGTTTTTTTTTTTTTTGTCCTTGTCCTCACTCAGTACCCCAGCCCACTGCAGCTGTACTCTCCGCCATTTATCCTCGGCCCGACTCGCTCCAAGCAGCCAGAGCCGGGGGAGATTTGGGCTGAACTCCCACCCAAATACAACGTGCTCTTTGTGGGATACTGCCTGTCACATGACCAGCGCTGGATCCTGGTGTCTTGCACTGACCAGCAGGGGGAGCTCTTGGAAACCTGCATTATCAACATTGATGTACCCAACAGGTTAGCGATGTTTGTTAGAGGCTTTCAGAGTCAAACCTGGAGCTGGGAAAGAAACAAGCACAGATACCATCATGTTATTGTTCATTTTCATTTCAGAGCAAGGCGCCCCAAAGTATCCGCCAGGAAAATGGGACTACAGAAAATGTGGGAGTGGTGTATTGGCATCATTCAGATGACATCACTGCCGTGGAGGATTGTCATTGGTCGGTTAGGCAGACTGGGCCACGGGGAGCTGAAAGGTGAGTAAAGCGATGGCGATTTAGAAGCAGCGTTGACGCTTCTCATTTTCTTTTCCTTTCATTCTGCTTCATCAGCAACCTTTCGGATTTTACAAATGCTGTTTGTTTTGTTTTGCTGATGTCATTTCCTACTGAGTTACAACCAATCAGCACGAGTTAAAAACAAGCCCCACTCAGCGACACTACTGGGCCATTCCGGGTACCTACAGGCGCTCCCAGAACTGACCCAGAAAGCGGTCCTTTGAGGTTGGCCTGGTGAAGGGAAAACACTCGCATGCCACAACGGTCCAGTAAAAATACCCAGAAGTCAGTGGAAGAGGGCCTAGTGTCTGAAGAAACCATGCCTTGTGTGGTTCTGTAGACAATGTTTGATGCTAGGTTTAGCTTTGAGGAAGTAATGTGCTCATTAGCAGTAAGATAACATTTATTTTTCTATTTTGAAATAAAGGCAAAAGGACTGTACCAAGTGCATTTACACTATAAATGTGTTTTAGTGCCTATGACTTGGTGAAACTCAAATATATATTTTTTAAGGATCAAGTCAAAAGACCCAGAAGAAAGTCAGTAGATGTGACCTCTCATGTTCACTCAGTTTATGGCTGGAAGCTGGGAGGACAGACATGTGTGTATTTTAGTTTATTAGTCAGTGGTGATGTGACTTTAGCATGAGATGGGTATTAAGGTATGTGACCATCCAGAACAAACAGTCCTTGGCTAGAACAAATGTCTCATGCTTTAGATTTCATTAGTTTTCAGTGACAACCCTGCACATAAGGCTAATTTTCTCCCACTTTGAAACTCTTCAGTCTGCACTGCTCTGCCCTCACCCACACACACACTTCTTGTCATCTTTCCAAACTAGACTGGAGCTCTCTCCTCGGGGAGCACTCCCTCCATTCAATTGGACGTCAGCTGAGGGAGGCTTGTCGTATGTGTGGGTTCTCAGCTGCCGACTCTCCCTCCATCCTCAGTGCCTGCCTCGTAGCCATGGAGCCTCAAGGCTCCTTAGTGGTCATGCCAGGTAAGTCACAAGTCTGATTTACCAATGATTATGACCAAAAGGCATGCTCAATGAGATGCATAACACACAAAATCAAAAAATTAATAAAAAACACAATATAATTTTAAATATATAAATGTGCAACACTCACAATAAATAACTTTTCCTGTGCTTCTGCTTCCAGATGCAGTAACCATGGGCTCTGTGTTTGGACGCAGCACTGCTCTGAACCTGCAGACGTCGCAGCTGAACACACCTCAGGATGCTTCTTGCACACACATCCTGGTCTTTCCGACGTCTGCCACAACCCAGTTGGCACCAAGCTCCTATCCCACAGAGGACAACAATGGTAACACCGTAGGAGATCATTTAACTTGACGTTGGACAAACTCAGTTCCTGTGCAAACTTAAAGAATTTGTGTTAACAAGCAAGTTAATTGAGAAAACTTTTTATACTTCTTTTTCAAATATCATTGGCCACTCTTGAGTTTTACATGCAGGCTGAATGTTGATATAGTCTTAGCCGTTGATAGAAAATAGACGTGAAAATGCTCAGATTAGAAAAGCCAGACATTTGCACGTAGCACTGTAAACTTAGCATTCATGGGCTCGCCCATTTTGGCTTGCGATGGGGGTGGCTTTTGTCGATTTAGTGTCCAGGAGAGAGCGGAGCACGTTAACACTAGTAGCTAACTGTTAGCATTAGCAACTTCACCAGACAGCAGAGCTCCTTTAGGCTTATGTTATTTGTGGAGATAAAGCATCAACATTGCAAAGCAAACAGAGTAAGTGGTGGAGTCACGTTGCTGTTATCTAATCAGACTCCAAATCCTGCCGTCTGCTTTTCCCCTCTCCTCCGGCTAACTTTTACTTCCTGAAACATGAGCGCCAGAGCTTTTTTCCCCACAGAGATTGTTTCCCAAGGCATTCATTTGCACTAAAGACCACTGCAAATGCAAAATGAGTGAACTTGGTCTTTTAAAAAAATCCTCCTGCAAATGTTAACTGTTTTCTAAAGATACATTATTGTTTATCAATAACTTTAATCTGTGAATGTTGTTGATGAACTTATACCAGTTGTGTACCACACTGCTGACTCTACAAACAATTTCTGTCCCCAGATGACATGTTTGATCTCCCGTTTCCTGACGAACTGGAGAATGACATCGGCCATGACATGATGTTGATCACAGGAAACCTTCACCCCTCCCCCAACACTTCTCCTGTGCCCTCACCCGGGTCACCGTCTGGAATGGGAATGGGGTCACATTTCCACCACGCCAGGGTGAGTCAGATTTTAAAAAGAAATCATTCAAAAGTGAATGGAAAAGAGAAGCCAGTGATGTTTGCACCCTTATTTTGAATAAATGCAATATATCTAGTAAAATTATTGTAAAATATTGTAAAATTATCAAGAACCTTTACTAATAAGACTCATAAGCTTATTAACCTTTCTCTCACTGTACTCTTCTGGTAAAATCTGCGTTGAGATACTTTCCACAAAGTTCACCCATCGTTCATTTAATGGCAAACTATATCCAAAATGACTGATTCAAGAATTAATGTTGTTATAAATGTACACAGTTTACAACCATCCAGCTACTTGATAACATGTGAGGAGATTTAAACTCTAGACTCAAAAGCGATGCAAAACATCCTAAATTATTAGAGCGATTTAGAAAAAAATAAAAATAAACATTATTTCTCCTCAAAATTTGAAAATAAGATCAAACCATTTTACAGAATTTGTTCATGTAAAAAAGGAAAGTTTGGGATGTTTAATTTTTGGAATGATTTTCCACTCTAGGCTTCAGACTTGATACTGCAGAGCGAGAACGGGAGTTTTACTTGTACCAAGTGTAATAAAAGCAGAGCAGTTTGTCTCAGAGGCAGAAGAGGGAGGAGAGGCGTCGACAGCTTTTGGTGCACAACATTCAGAGCTGTTCAGGGAACCTGCAGCGACTTGTAAATCATTAACCTGCAGGGACAAAATGCACAGTAGTGTGTTGTTCTTTTGCAATCGATAAATAATTAATTAAAATGAAACCATAAAACTCTAAGAAATGTGCTGGTTAGGGCTGTTTTGCCTCATCTCTAAAAGTGTCTATTAAACTACAGTTAGTAGTTAAATTAGAAGGCCAGAAAAAACAATCTGGTCTTTTATTTCTCCTCAGTTTAGAATTTCATCTGAAAATCCTGCAAAATAAAAGTAGTTAAAATTAGGAACAGGGCTGAACTCTTGTAGGATAAGATAGAACTGAGATTTTTCTGGCAGAAATTGCAATTTCAGTTCAATTCACTTTTATTTATTTATTTATTTTTCAAATCAAAATTTAGCTCCATATTCACACAAGTATTACCTTTACAGACATGACAGGAAATGACATCATGGCATAGAAACATTAAAAGCTATCACTCTAATAATGCAAGGATGAAACCTAAAGGTATATTTATTAAGGAGAAACATGCAGAGTTTAATCCTGCATTGTTTTGCTAAAGGTTAATGCCTGGACATCTTTTGGGGCCGTCTGCATGTTTTTTTTTCCTCACAAAAATGCCGCTGCAACACCAACCCATGCCTACTTGGATTTACCGTAGCTTAGCAACAGTGTGTGCCAGAAACATTCATATGTTTTTTAAAAGAAGAGAAGTTGCACCGCTAACCAGGGGGAAACCACAGAGGTCTAAAATAGTTAGCACAACAGACCCTGGGTCAGTCTAGAGCACCACAGAACCACAGGTTGGACCATCTCATAATTACATTGTTAAAAATCTAAATTTCAGCCAGAAAGCGATAGATCTTTTACCCCTAATTAGAAATCTCCGATACCATCAGCAGATCGTTATAATTGGCCGATATTTTAAAGGTAATATCGGGATTTATCCAAATGGGTCTTTACTCTTTTAATGACATTACTTTTACATACCGTGCACATGTTATACATCAAACTCTTCAGCTACGTCTCTTCAAAACCTCAAATGTGACAGATTAGTATTTTTGTTTGTTTGGCATGACTGGCCCAACTTAATTTTAAGTAGTTGTCATATTTTCAAAGACAATGTTTAAAGTGTATTTATGCGTGATGATAGGACATCTGTTAGCTTCTCAAAATGATTGTTTTTCTTTGTTTATGTGGGGGCTCATGCATGTATTGATATTGGTTTATATGGTGTCAGAAATGATGAGTTATACTGGATAGCAACAAATAAGCTGGTATTGAGCAGCCCAGTTGAAATAAGCAACACGTTTCACAGTCTGACAAAAGAAACATAGAAATGAAACAACTTCTTTTTTACTTAACTAACCCTAGGCTAGGATCTGCTGCTGCAGGTATGAAACTAAGACACCTCAGAGTACGATGTGGCAAAAGCATCTTATGGCAGCAGCTTTCGTGCTTCTGCACTTCCTTATAAATATAAACTTTATGTACGTTTTGCAGGTGTCAGTGTAAAAGCATGAATAAGTTGTGGAGGCCATAAGAATGAGGTTAATAACAGCTTGATGACCTTGTTTGCTGTGTAGAGTCAGGGAGAGCGCTTGCTCTCCAGGGACAACCCCCCTGAGGAGCTGAAACAGCAGCCACTGGCTCTGGGCTACTACGTCTCCACCGCCCAAGCCAACAGACTTCCTCACTGGTTCTGGGCCTCCTGCCCACAAGCTGAGAACCAGTGCCCACTCTTCCTCAAGGTACTGTGAAGCGAGTGTGACTGACGACTGGGACAGAAACACAAAGCTTCAGGATTTAACTCCCATGTTTCTTCTCCTCAGGCGTCTCTCCACCATCACATCTCCATCACACAGTCGGATGAGATCACATCTGACAAGACTAAAAGGACCCCTCATCCCTTAGACTCTAAAACCACCTCTGATGTGTTACGGTGAGCACACCCGAAAACCGACACCTTTAGAAACCCAAGATTTTGGTCCATTCTGTAGATAATACTGACTTTGTCTTTCCATGTTCAGGTTTGTACTGGAGCAGTATAACGCCCTCTCCTGGCTGACGTGTACACCTGCCACACAGGATCGCCAGTCCTGCCTGCCTGTTCACCTGGCGGTTCTGATCCAGATGTACAACGCCATCCTGAACACACTTTAGCTCCACGAACACACACGTGTTGTTGTTCCTCGTTTTGACCACCAGAGAGCACCAGAGGTCTTCTGATGAACTTCATGGCCAAGAACTGGGCAAATCAAACTCATAAAGGATCAAAATTGTGGCGCTGGACCTCTGTTGCTCTGTGACGACCCCGTTTGATGTAAAACTGCCTTTCATTGTGCATGTGACAAGAAATCAGAAGGATTCAGCAATGGCGCAATCTCCCAGTGGAAGAATCTGAGGAGGCTAACACAAACAGACGTTTTTATTGGATTCTTCTGCTACAAGGAGAGGCGTCTAACCAGCAAATCGGCATGACAACACAAATACACAGCTTTATTACATCAAAGACGTTTCTATGGCTCTGTATAGAACTGCACTAGCGAGTTCTCGGCACTCGCAGCTGGATGATGAACCCTTGGTTTTTTTTCTTAAAGTTGGAGCATTTGGTTTTGGCACTTGTCTCCTCACCTTCCAAAGTGTTTCACATATAAACACAATGGAAATTTGACCAGGAAAGATGTGTTATTTATAATGTAAGGCATACATTCATAAAGAATTGAGACTTATTTTTAATATTTAAAATCATTACAAAAAAAAGTCTTTTTTTCCCAGCTGCCTGTTAATCGTTCTGGGATCTAAAATAAAATTTGTCAATTTAATGCAATTGTAAAAATGCCATATTTATACAGATTATATCATGTCTTAGAATTTGATATATATATATATATGAATATAAATATATATATATATATAAATATATATAGATAGATAGATATAAATGTATATACATAAATATGTATTACCTCTTCCAAACAGGCACTTATTGATGATGATTTTTTTTGGGGGGGGGCACAGCCGACTCAAAGTAGGATGCTTTTTTTTCTATACATGCAGACATTTTTACTTTTTTATTTAAAAGTTTAAGTTTAATTTAACTTGATGCAGGAGATATGGTATACTGTACATTTATGAAGTATTCGTTTTCTGCCCAAATGAACATGAATTAAACTAAAAAATATGGCATTTCAATGTTTAAAATGATGCTTTCGTTTATTGGATTCCATAAATGATGTCAAGCAAAGCATCAGAAAGAGCCTGTTTTTATGTTTGTTTGTTTTGTTACAGCCTCCCTAAGTCGGCGCTTTGTTAGCATGTCTGTATATACACTTTGGAGGTGTATTTCATTATTATTTTTATTATTTGGAGGGTGTTTATCTGAGCTGTATATTTCATGCTGATTGGGTTATTTTAAAACATTTGTTTTATTGTTGATTATTTCTTTTTATTTTAATACCCAGCATACAATCCAACACTCATTTCATTTCAGCCAAGAAGTTCAATTGCCAAGTACGTGTACAGAAATGTACAGACAAGAGCAAAAATTTGTTACGTCTGTTATCACTTTGAATATAAAACAGATCACTTTTGCTAAAAGTGATCTGTTACTTTTACACTCTTTTTTTAGTAAATTATTAAAATTCTTGAGAATGAAGCTGTGGTTGGTTTTTGATTTTAGTGCAGGAGATTGTTTGATCTTCGTGATTTGGCTGTTCGGGATCGTGGACGAGCACCTGGATGTCAACCCACAAATTGATTTGGGAAAAATAATAAAAAATAATAGAAACCAGACGACGCATCTCCGAATACTTCTGTTATTCTAAAGTGATGCCATAATTTCCCATTAGCAGAAACTTTGGAGCCTGAGACTGTTCACTCAGGATGTAGGTCTGAAAGTCCCGCCCACTCAAATCATTTGGAAGTTATTAAAAATAATACAGGTATTAGGGAATTATTATTTCAACAATAATCAGTGGGTTCAACACAAGAAGAAATCATGTTTAGATTTTAGTCAGGAAAATGTCCCATTCATGTTAATGAAAGAGGCAGGACTTAAAGAGACTGTAGTTTTTAATGTTAATCTCTGGAAATATCCATCAAAATGTTGAAAATCAATGAAATGATGCCCAGTTGTTGAAAAATATTGGTGGCTTTGCACCATATAACCATATAAAGTGGATTTAAAATAAATGGAAGTGGGTGACTCTAAGTGTCTGAGCGACGCCATTTTGGACGCCATGTTTCCTTCTACGGGACCCCATGAGAATTTGTAACAAGCAGTTAAAAACTTCCACCATTCATAAATGTTCTTTTACACATTTACCTCTTCCCTCGTTGCCAGTAATGAAAGGGAGTCTGACGTTCTTGTCATTTTCCTGGAGGTTGTGCTCCCAAGAATTTTTTACCCTAATGTGCTTGTAATTATTTAGGTCTGTACTGCTCCTTATTGCAAGGGAAAATACATGTCACTTTAAAGGGGGACATGTTATGCAAAACTCATGTTTTGCATTTTTTGTGCTGTCGTGTGGATCTCTACCGCCTCTATAAACATGAATGAACTCATCCGTTTGTTTTCTGTCAGTGTTGATTTTTAGGAATTATGTGTCAAAAAAAGCCATTTAAAAATTCCCAGATTTTGATGTCACAAATGGGAAAATCACCTCTCCAGACTTGAGGAGAAGCAGCTCTGCTCCGAGCCCCTCGGAGATAACGAAGCTTCTCAGTTTGTAGAATCCTGAGTGGGGGAGGGGTGGGCGTGGCCAACACCGCCTTGTTTTCAGATACCTGGTTCACATCAGATGTGGAAGAGCGATGGTGCGCTGTAAAGCCCCGTGGAACAAAGAGCGCTTCTATTCAGCGCCCTTGTTAACCTGTGGTCTTGATCACATCAGCTGCAAAGCATGGCGAAGGCTTGCGCTGTGCATCGATTGTTTCGGTGTGTGCTCAAATTTTTTTGTGAGCTGCATCAATTCTGTCAAACCAAAACAGAAGAGACCGGCCGGCACATGTAACAAAATAAAGACATTTTTCCAAATAAAACACCGCAGACTAGAGAGATGAAAATGAACAAAGACACACACACACACACACACACACACACACACACACACACACACACACACACACACACACACATATGCACGCACTCCTGCGGAGAAACATAGCGTTTCCATATATTTAAATGCAGTTTTTACAGCAAAAGATGGATTTAATAATGTAAATTCAAACAATTATGTTTATTTCAAAGGTAAATATGCAATAGTATTGTACACTACCACAAACACTAGGTTATTTACTTAAATGGCTTGTAAACAGCTCATTGTGGAAGGTACTGAAAATGCCAAGAATAAAGATGCGGTTGTTCAGGAACTAGCAGTATACTACATCAGAGGACAACAGGATTTGGAGCCTTGTTTCCTGATTTTTGGACATCATCTCTCTCTGTCTCTTAACCTTCTCAGGGGCCTAGTGGTAGAGAGTCCTCCCTGGGACTAGGAGATCAGGGTTCAAATCCTGGTCAGGTCATACCAAAGACCTTAAAAATGGGACTCGATGCCTCCCTGCTTGACACTCAGCTTTAAGGGGATGAACTTTTGGGGTTAAACCACCAAACAGTTCCTGAGCCCTCTACGGGGATGGGTCTAATGCGGAGATGAATTTAACCAGTGTGTGATGGCTGATGGGACTTTAACTGTCTGCCTCTGATTGGCTAACTGCAACATGACTCTACCACTGACTCCATTTGCGCTGCAACGTAGATGTTTTGTCTCCACAATTAACTCAAGCCTGGAGGAGTACTGCTGTGTGGTGGAGTTGCTAATGGTAATGGTTAGCTTCTACTAGCTGAAACGTTTTCTGTTGTTTCCTGGACGCCAACCAACAACAGCCTTCGTGAGTCAAGATGGGGGAATCCGTGAATGTTATCAGTGTGATGTAGATCTGTCAGGTTTTTCAAATCCTAGAGTTTCACTTTCAGAAGCTAATGCAGCAGATAGGTGTAGGAGACTATTTTCATGTTCAGTCTGCATGCAAAACTCAGAGTGACTGATTATAATCACAAATAATCATTAGAAAACGTTATTTTCAGTGTTCCACACCATTAAGAAAAAAGGTCACAATATGTCGTCCTCTTTAAAACTCGTACTGCAGCCAGCCACTCGGGGCACAACAATTCATCTCATCATTTATTCATTTCTTACTTATCATTATATTATAGAGTGATTAGAAATTTTGAAATCTCTTATCTGTGACTAAAAATAAACCTGTTACCATCAGCGTCATTACTCTCAGTGAGATGTAAATAAGTAAATAAAAAGGTGTGGAAGGTAAAAAAAAACACGTTGCTCCTCTGGTTAGATCACCTCACCGAGCTTAAGGCTTTAATTGATGCTTGTTCAAAAGGTGTCAATCATTGTGGTAATAAATCAACATGTCAGCCTCCATGGTGAATGAAATGGAATTTAAAACCAACAGCCTTTGGGAAAGATAGGTATTTACCGACAGGTTCATTGGAGCAAATAAAAGTAAACAAATGCTACCCCTGAGCGACTTCCCTTCCTCTTGTTCTACAGGACAGTCTAGCTTCAGAGCTAGGTTGCCTCATAAAAACTGTAATAATACATATGCAAACTTCAAAAGAACCAGCAACGATAGAAAATGAGTAACACGTGGAAATTACCAAATGATAAAATCAACGGGGCGTCAAACAAGGTGTTAATCATCTACGGTTGTCACTGTGACTACAGGAAGTAACAGAGTCCTGTTTGATGCTCACTCTAAACAACATATTTTGGCATATGTGTGTGTGTGTGTGTGTGTGTGTGTGTGTGTGTGTGTGTGTGTGTGTGTGTGTGTGTGTGTGTGTGTGTGTGTGTGTGTGTGTGTGTGTGTGTGTGTGGCCGAGGTTGTGAGTCCACAGTATAAAAATAATAAATGTGTTTGTCTGGTAAACGCTCAGGATTTTTCAATTGGTTCATTGTGTGCATGTAATAATTCTAAAAGATGTCCTATTGAAAGGCCGTAAGAGCTCTGCTCCTTTTGTTTGTGATGCCACAGAAGAAAACGTTTGAGAACAACAACACAGAAAAAAGAAACCTCGTGAGAGTGGTTTTATTGGAGCATCAGGGTCATGTTGAGTCACTGAGTGGAAAACTGCATTTGCAACGCACCTAAAAAGCAGAGTGGCCAACAAAAAGAGACAAAACGTATGTCTCTGGAGGACTGGGCAGCTCAAGGACACTACCAACGAAAAGGAATGGGTAACTGAAGAGTAAAAGCCACTGAAGAGTCACTTGTTGTGGTAGGCCTGTCTAATGGCCGTCACAAGTAGAGGAAGTGGACTCTTAATTGACTGCAACGTGTTTTCCACAGATAACCTATTAGACTGCGGCCGTTCACCACCAAGAGCTTTATTTGCTGCCAAATGGCCCACAGACTGGACAATTAAGGCCATGGGGCTGCCTTGACATAACATTAGCGCAAACACAATCAATTATATTTTACAAGTATGTTATTTGCTGCCAACAGCACTCTACAATAGATGTCATGGTTCTTAGAAACTAAAAATAATAATATGTCCACGATGTGAAGAGCAAAAACCAAACCTGTCATCTGACTAATCAGACCACCCTGGATGGCCCCGTTAGCATGGAGTTTGTTATATTATAACTTGTGCTAATTGATTTTCTTTGACCCATGATGGCTCACCAAACTCCTCCCATGCCCAGGTTTTTGCCTTGGCGACCACCCGAGCCGCGTTCCGCTTGGACTGCCGGTACCCGTCAGCTGCACAGAAGGATGAAAGATTATTTGGATTTTATTTTAACATTTTTTTCTCAAATGCTTTAGTTGATATGGATATTCATAAATGTGATTTTCTTTTCCTTTTTCTGACTTTACATGATCGAAAAATAAAGTAATACATCAGCTGTAAAATGCCATCCATCCATCCATTTTCATCCGCTTATCCGGAGTTGGAACGTGGGGGCAGGCGAGAGGCCCAGACTTCCCTCTCCCCAGCCACTTGGGCCAGCTCCTCCGGAGGAATCCCAAGGGGTTCCCTGGCCAGGTGAGAGACATAGTCTCTCCACCGTGTCCTGGGTCTTCCTTTAGGTCTCCTCCTGGTTGGACGTGCCCAGAAAACCTCACCAGGGAGGCGTCCAGGAGGCATCCTGACCAGATGCCCGAGCCACCTCAACTGGCTCCTCTCGATGTGGAGGAGCAGCGGGTCTACTCCAAGCCCCTCCCGAATGACCGGGCTTCTCACCCTATCTCTAAGGGAGAGCCCAGCCACTCTTTGGAGAAAACTCATTTCGGCCACTTATTTCAGCAAACTCGTTCTTTGGGTCACTACCCAAAGCTCATGACCATAGGTGAGGGTAGGAACGTAGATCGACCGGCAAATCGAGAGCTTCGCCTTCTGAATCAGCTCTCTCTTCACTACGACAGACCGGTACAATGCCCGCATCACTGCAGATGCAGCACCAATCCGCCTATCGATCTCACGCTCCAGTTTTCCCTCAATCGTGAACAAGACCCCGAGATACTTAAACTCCTCCACTTGGGGCAGGACCTCATCCCTGACCCGGAGAAGGCATTCTACCCTTTTCCGAATCAAGACCATGGTCTGAGATTTAGAAGAGCTGATTCTTATCC